CACAAACAAACATGACTCTAGAAAGATCTAGAATTAGGAACATTTTGCTCTTCATCAGCGAAAGGCTGAAAATAGAGAACTTGTGATTTCTTAAAAACCAGGAGAAATAGCCACATAGATTTATATGTTGAAAAAAAAAAGGGATGAAAGAATGCTTCATGGGGACATGCACTCTCTTTCTAGTTTGTCAGTTTCTGAGATACACCACACAATTTCTAGAGCTCTTTAACATCCAGTAACTGGGTTCCTAACCTTCTAAAACCTGTGTAATTGAACATGTATCATACATTCAAAAGCAAGTTGAAAGGGTTTACTGTAGGTTTGCCTAAGCTGTGGGTTGCAGCAGGGTAGTGCTTTATCAAAATCACCTTGAGATATAAACTGTGACTCAAACAGCCCTCATAATGGTTAGGCATTGCCTCTAGGGGAGACTTAGCCTGCACCATCTCTGTATCTAGGTAAGTGTTTGCCTTTGTTTGAGATGTTGGATATAAATCTTACTATGCTGAATATTTTACTCCATGTTTGAACCAGCAAAAACTTTATTTTCTTGAGGGCAAGAATATAACAAAAAAGAAAGTGATGTTTAGTTAATTTACTTGGATCCCCAAATTTGATTGTTTAGATTTAAGTCCAATAGATTAAAGATCTGCTCCAAAATATTTGTCTCCCCTCACTATTTCTGCAGGGTGGTATCACTGCCACAATGACAGAGAACACCGAACTGGTCACTGGCCAAGTCAGTTCCATTTTCCACGACATTAACTCCAGAAAGACAGGAAATTCAACTGTAACTCAGGAAAAAAACATTTTTACTGTGAGGATAGGTGAACACTGGAACAGGTTGCCCAAAGAGGTTATGGAGTTTCCATTCTTGGATATACTGAAACTTGCCTGGACATGTCGCTGAGCAACGTGCTGTAGCTGCCCATGCTCTGAGCAGGGCTGGGACAGGGCAATCTCTAGAGGGGTGACCCTTTGGTTCTCTGAAATCTGTGAGCTCTTCTGCACACAGTACATTAATCAGCCTCAATTGTGTTGGATATTATATTGCAGCTATATCCGATGACAACAAAAGGTACTCTTCAGTACTTTCCCCATCTATTACTGTTAACTACGAAGCTGCAATGACCTTGTGGCTATATTCTAATATATGATCCAAAAATCTTTCTATGCAGTATCTTTCCTTACAGATTTTAAGAAGAGTAAATGCAGAGGCAATAACCTTTACACAAACTGACCAACAAATAATAAAGGTGTCAAACATGCACTCCTAGTCTTGGGACAGTTAAACATGCTTCACAGCAACCCATGCAACTTATCCACACTATCTGTGATAGCGTCTGTTTTAAAGGAGGGCAAGACTTCTCCCCTTAAAATGATTCTTTCAGAAACTGCAGTCATCCTTTCTCTATGATTGACATTAAAATGTAAAAGTAGTATTGTAAACCATGAGATTAGTGGTCCAAGTCTGTTCATAAAGGCTTCTATGGACAAAGGGAGTTAAGCATAGTTGACCATTATTTGAGTTACTACCCTTCGCACGTCAAAAGACATGGTCATTTCCCAGTCGTCTTCTTCCCACTGCACATCCTTCAACATCATCTTCCCCTTTCTAATGTTTTTCGCATGTGTTTTCATGCATTAGGCAGCTGTCCTCTATTCTTTGTTTTCTTCCCTCTTTATCATACCTGTTACACTTATGCCCCAATATATTCTAGAAATATACTTGTAAAATTTCCTGTATCCATGAAAATTTCTTGTTTTCCTACTTTTCGTTGCATATTTTTACCATGTCCAACTCCTGTAGCCACAGTAATTCCCTTTAACAGAGTTAACTCAGAAATTAAATGTCACTGTTTTCTCAAAGCACTATGCTAAATATCCCTACTATCTTTTCTAGTTATTGCTGTTCTACAGACAGTGAAGCTATCAAACTCTAGCTGTTAGCGTGCATCCAGGTTGCATACTCTAGAAAAAAATATCCAATTATATGTTTCTTTTTTCACAGAAATGGAAAGTTCACAGAGGACCATAGACTGGTAAAACCACAGTCATAATTTCCCAGAGGTAATTTGCCAAATCAGTGTGGTTTAAGAATTTACAGCTTATAGCTGAAAATAGAAAAATAAATAAATACATATAGACATTTGCCTGAATAGTTCTAGTACCAGCAATAAATAACAGATGGAAAATGTGTCCCCCATTTTCAGTGAATGACAGTCTCTTCACACTACTTGATGAACAAATTTTACCTGATCATTTGTGGAATATGCCTGTAATTTTTTTGGTAATAGAATTGAAGATTGTTATTATGGTTCCATATATGTAATCAATATTTCCAGAAGCAGTTACACATCTGCTTTATATGCCATTGTTTGGATTAGTTTTGTAGTATGGGAGAAGTTTTACTTTTAATACTCCAAAATAATCAGAAGAAAGGAGTATATCACTTTTAGCACAACTCTAATGACCAGTTTTTGAAGTGACAGACAGACACAAACAGAGGTTCACTGGCTGCTAATCAATTAGATTGGCTGAGACACTAGGCACTAATAGAAACCTTCAGGAGACATAATATCTGCAAGCAACAGACCGTGTATTATGCTGCTGTATGATTATAGCCCTAAAGAACATTCTATAATTGTATATCTAGTTGGAATCCAAGGCTAACCATGGACTATTTTTTTACTGCTGAACAGAGAATTCTCTTTCCAAAACCTGAAGCCAGTTCTCTACATGCAACTTCAGAGGTATTTGACTGGAGTCACTTACGGTGGGAAGAGCATACAGGGTAGCAGAATTTAAATATTTATATGCAGGTGATAGCATCATAGCCATTAATTTTAGAAGACATACTCCATTTAATGAAATTATCCCTGGTGCACCCCCCTGACAAGGTCACAGCGTCTTTATAGTATTCCCCAATTATACTTTATCAATGTATTTCAAAATGTATTAGGAACAAAATCTAAACATTAAAATAAACTTTGTGGGTTTGATTCTTTGGTTTTGATTTAGTATCTTGACCCCTGTGAACTCATTTACACTGTAAAAGGCTGCTATGTATAAATTAAGGCACCATACACAGTTTTCATCTAGTATGTGGTACGGCAGAGGGAAGTCCTTTGTGTAATAGCAAACCTACATCTGTGTCATAGACAGTGAAAGAAGAATAAGTTAAGTTTGATCTCAGTGCAAGATTAGTAAAAAACAGCTACTGATGTTTCTTTAATCTCTCAGTGCAGAGCTTCAAATTCATGTAGATACACTGCCAAATTGAGGCCAACTGTCAAAAGTAAAAACTCAAATTACTTGAGTGGAGATGAAAATCACGTTTAACATCAAGCTGAATGGAACCCCTAATGTATTACTATTACACATCTAAAAATAAGTTTTAGAAAGTCAAATGTGCGAATTCCATACATATTTATATGCAAGCACATATTTTCTTCACAAATGTATGCAAAGTGGAAAAAGCATTTAAATGCAGAAATGTTAATAGAGTGTCATCAGCAGAAAAATGTACCCACATACCTGTAATTATTGGAAACTTTCAGTCAATGTACTAAAATTTCTGCAGTGTTCTGGAAACCATTAATAAATACAGAAATATCCCAAAGCAATGACAGTTACTACTGTAGTACAAAAAATACAGTGTGGAACAGTATTATAAAATGGCCAATATATCAGAAAGTTACACACCTGGTAAGAAAATGAAAAGGTAAACTTACCTTTTATAAAGAAGTATAGCAATAACAATACAGATGATAAACACCACTGCAAGAACTGGTCCAACAACCCAAATCAAGCCTTCTTCCTCATCTGTAATTGGTTGGGGATCAAGATCCATCGACACAACAGGATCAGAATATGGGCTGGTTGCATACATAGTCTATACAAATAAAATAAATCTTACTTAATGATAAAGGAGTCCATTTAAAATATTAACTACCCTAGACCTAAAATAAATCTATACAAGATAATGATGCAATGAATGCGAAAATGCTATTTTTCTTCAAGTCAGGTAGTATATAAACTTGCAAACTGAATGGTGTGTTGTTACTATCTTTATTTTGTGTTCCACATATTAGCAGTGATCTGCAGACAAATGAGTTAACACAGTCCTTCAGAGAACACTTTGCAACTTAAGCAGAGAAGGAGAAAATGAAGTATTAGGAAACAGGAATATAACCCACCAGTTACTAATTTTGGTTTGTTTTTTTTTTAGTTTCATATTGGCTTAACACTATTTCTTCCTGCAAGATATGAAAGGATACTTCTGAAAGAATGAGAGTACTATAGGGAAAAATAAAGGAGACTGAATGTAGGAGGTTCCTAGAAAAGGGTCCTATGGCAATAGTCAGATGCATTTTGATCAGTCAAAAACTGTCTGACAGAGTGTTCTTACAGAAGATGGAGGCAACTTGAATCTAAGACTGAAAAACAGGGGAAGCCACTGTAGAATATGAAGGGAAGCTAAATAGTCTTAGGGTTGGAACTAGAATTATGAATGAACAGAGACTGTTGAAAATCTTTGCCTTACTGGATGGTGTAAAGCCAACTGGCCTAGGATAAGACCTGTGATAAGAAAATAATAACTTTATTTTATTCTGGTCTGACGTGATCTATGACTGAGCGCAAAGTTAAAATTACAGACAGGACAGGCTGAGGAGCCAGCCTGCTAAGAATGGATCATGTAAAGAACTTTGAGCTACAGTAAAGTCAGAAGTGGAGAATGGTTTGTACTTATTTCTTGTCTTTGCTGGAGTGTCTCCACGAGCACTAAACTAGGATTTGAACTACAGCTCTTGCAAAGGACTTAAAATC